GGGGCGCGGGGCGGGGCGGGGGCCTTCCTGCCCGCCCGCCGGGCCTGGAGCGAGCACGGAGACGCGGGGCCGGGGCCTGCGCCGCCGTCTCCCGCCCGCCCGCGCGCGCTCCCTCGGGGCTCCGGGAGGACAGGCCGCCTTCGAACGGCGTTCCGGCCCTCGCTGCTGGTGCACCGCAGGACATTCCGCCCTCCTTCCCGTGCGAGGGCGGCCCGCATCCCTCTCCACAACCGCCCTGCGAGGGAGGCCGGGCCGAGAGGCAGCGAGCGCGGCAGCGGGTCGCCCGAGGGCCGTGCGCGGCGATCCTGCCTCGCTGCGAAAGGATTTCGGGACAGCTCCTCGTGCAGCTCCCCTGGATCTTGCGGGCGCGATCTGTAGCTCTTGTTTCTTTTTCCGTTAGGATGGAAGAACAGTTCGCCTGAAAAGCGGCGCATGTGCAGGCGGCCTCGTTGCCCGCCAGGATGTTTCTCATGAACTCTTCCCCCTTGGTGGCTCTTCAGAGAAAATGGGAAGCCTTTGCCCCAGCAAGGAACTGTAGGTACCCTGTCTGTTTCTCAGAGTCTGAAGACGACATCTCCAGAAATACTGTGACTGCCAAAGTGCAGATGATCATCAACAATCTGCAAAGCGAGGAGGCATCTTTGGGCACCCACAGTGAATATGGCTGCCTTGTGCAGAGAAAGCAGAAGGGAGCGAAGGGCAGAGGCCACAAGGTTGGGGGCGGTGGCGGGACGCGGCAAAAGTGCATCAAGTACACCCAGCTTACCTGCCCGGCTGACTCTGATGGCATGGAAGTGGAGGAGAACTCAGAGTTTGGGCCCCTCTTGTTAAATTCTGACAGTGACGATTCTGTCGACAGAGACATAGAAGAAGCCATTCAAGAATACCTGAAAAACAAAGGCCAAAGTATCGAGCAATTACCAAGCCACACCAAGAGCTCAGGCAGAGACAGGCAGTCCCAGCAGGAGCACCCATCATCAGATGCCCTTTGCCATCGGTGTCCTGTGGACGTTAATGCAGGTGCAGCCCAGTACTTCGGAGAGGATGCCACCGGATGGGCTTCCTCCCCTTGCAGTGTGAGCAGCGACGATTCTTTTGAACAGAGCATAAAAACAGAGATAGAACAATTTTTAAATGAGAAGAAACAGCACACAAAGAAGAAGAATATAAGTGGAGGGAGCAGGCAGCTTGATCCGAAAGGGGGTCAAGAGAAGTTGGCAGTGAGGAGTCGGAAAGATGGAACTAACAACAGGATCCGACGTTCTTTAAAGCATGGGGGCAAGGCACTCTTCTTGAGACGACATCCTGAATTAGGAGGCACTGGTGCTCCTAAAGGTCTGAAGTCAAAAGCCAGTGAAGAGCCTCCAGCTTGCAAAATGGCAAACCAAGCTGACTTTAAGATACCTTTAGCTGGTTATTCCACTGCGCTGGAGCCAAACAAAGGAGGTGAGAAAGGGCAATATCTTTGGAAAGCCAGAGGAGAGCAAAGACATGAAAGCGTTGATTTAGCTGATTCAAGCAGTGATGATGGCATTGAGGAAGCTATCCAGCTTTACCAGCTGGAGAAAATCAGGAGAGCAACTGACTGCAAAACAGACTGTCTTACTTTTCGGAAGGAAGAGTTTAGGGCAGGTGGGATTGAAAATTTATCCTCAGGTCCTGCAATCCTTTCAGTTAAAAGTGCCTTGCCGGAAATCCCTAGAAAAGTTCTGAGCAGCAACAGAAAATGTGTAGGCCCAAAGCCAGCAAAATTAAATCAGATTGGTGGCATTTTTCACAACCTGGAGAGAAGCAGAAGTTACACCTCTCCAAGAAACAGTCCAGCCAAATGTGCAGACATGTTCCAGGCCTCCTGCCGAGCAGACACGGCTGCCGAGCTGATGTGTGCAGAAGCCATTCTCGACATCTCCAAGACTATCCTACCTCCCCCTGCTGGAAGTGACAACAGAACATATGCTACAAACCCTTTTTTCTGCTCCCAGGATGTACCGCCTTCCCAATATGAGAATGACAGCAATGCTGTAGACAGTGATGACAGCATCGAACAAGAAATCCAAGCCTTTTTGGCTGTCAAGGCGCAGACAGAACACTTGATAACAAACCTCAAAGGGGCGTCATTCTCTGTCCAGTTTCCTTCTTCCTCTGAACAACCAGATGAGCCCATCCGAAACCATAGGCATACATTCCAGAAGCCATTAAAAATGTCACTGGCTCACAAAAGGAAACTTAAGCGGGGAAGCAAAATACCCAGCCAGAGCCAAAACACACCACTGGCATTGCCAGAGATGTGCTACAGTTGTGCAGATAATATTTGTTCAACAGCCTCTGCATCCCTAGAGGAGGGTGGTGTGAATGGGCTGAGAAAGGGTGACGCTGCAGTGCTGGCTGCATGCCAGCAAAACACATTAGGCACTGTCAGTTCTTTGCCACCAGAGCGTTTTTGTTCCAGAAATCACCCGCAAAATACAACCCATACTGAGCAGAAGTGCGGAGCAGGTGACAAGAGCAGCTCCTTGGACAGCGATGAGGACCTGGATACAGCTATCAAAGACCTCCTGCGGTCCAAACGGAAGCTAAAGAAAAAATCCAAAGACCAAAGAATTCCATATAAGAAGAAAGTCAGATTTGGAAACACTGAAATGCACATTTTTGAGGATGAAGAGAGAGAGTATGAATCCAAAACTTCTGCCTCACTAAAAAGTTGCCTCATGAGTTCCAAAAGAACCACCTTGGAGGAGGATGCAAAGAAAGCATCTCCCAGTGTTGTCCGGAGGAAGCCAAAAAGAGCAAAGACCATACAGTTCACAGTGGAATCGAAGAAGGAATGCCAGGCTAAGCCCAGTTCTGGGCCAGAAATCCAGGAGACAGAGAATGGTCACCAGTGTCTTTGGACCCCAGCATCCCTGACCAATGACAGCAGCTCCATAGACAGTGATGACAGCATTGAACAGGAAATCCGGAGATTTTTGGCAGAAAAGGCAAAAGACTCCAGTGCCACGATGGAGCCACCGGCAGCTGATGACGTCCCCAAGACCAGTAAACCCCAAGTGGCTCTGGATCAAGCCAAGTGCACGCTGGGCAGGGGTGGTGTCTTACTGGAACCAAACAAAACGGGGAAAGAGGTGGCTCCACCAGCTGCTAAGCTGAGCAGCTCTCTGGGAGCAGGAGAGACTGGGGGAACTGCTTTGCTGTTGCACGCAGAAGGTATGTCCATCCAAGCGATGAGGAGGCCTCCAGCAAATCAAGGCCTTGTACAGACTAAAGGCCCTGGTTTCTCTGCAAAAAGGACTGTGGTAAAAAGGAAGGTGATCTGTGATCAGAGAAGCCTTCCATCTGAGAAGGATGAGGCAGGGAGCCATAACTTGCACAATTACTTGAAATCTGTGTCTCCTTTCAAAAGGAGGAGCTCCTATGGACTCAAAATTTCCAGCAAGCTGATAGGTGTCAAAAGTACTCCAAATAAGAAGAAATCTATTCTTTTAGGGAAAAAACAGAGCATAGAGTTATCACTGTTCAGGAAGCAGGGAGCTGTGCCTGTGGCAGAAACCCTTGGTGAGAGGTGTGCAGTGTCCGTGCAGACAGCAAGCCTCAGTTCTAAGACGGGGGTAAGAGAGGCAGAAGGGTTGCAGCCTCGTATGCCAGAAAGAAATGAGAAGGTGGCAGCTGCCACTTCACATGGTGCAGAAGCAGATCTAGCCCAGGTTAAACCTTTGGGAGACCGCGAGCCTTGTCACCATGTGGGATCCAGCTCTGGTCCTTCTTTGCAAGAGCACAAAGCAGATGATGCCAGTGGGATCAGAACTAGCCCAGGGCCCTCGCATGTGCAGGTCCCCATTAGAGAAGAGGGAGGGGAGCTCCCAGAGCACGGCAGCGGTGCAGTCCCCCGCAGCACCAGTCGCTTGCTGCTGAACGAGAAGTGCAGCCCGGGCAGGATAGCCAGGGAACGGTCCACGAAAGTGGTAGAGGCCGGTGCTGCGGCGTGTACGGACTCGGCCGTGGTGGAGTGCGTGTATTGTCTGGCAAGAAGCACATCCTCCAGTTCGTAATACTTTTTGCATATTGGAGTTGCCATTTTTAAAGGCAGCTCCAAAACAGCCACATCCTGAGCTCATTCTCCTGAGATAGTGATTAATCTCCATGTTGGAAGAGGTAAGAGTTTATATGAAGATGGGTGTATCTGTGTGTATTCTTTTCCCTCTCGTCTTGTGCTCATGGATCAGGCAGCCTGATCTGCTCAGCTACTCCAGGTGCAGCCACCCCCATGGAAATCTTGTGCTTACAAATGTGAATGCTTTTTTCTGGTATGGAAGGTTCATCTCTGTTTCAGGAAGAAGTAATGCTTACAAAGCATCCCACACTGTCAGTATCCCCAGAGCTCCTGAAACTAAAAAGGGAAATGTGGAAAATCCTGATGCAAAGACTCATGTGTAGGAGCGTCTCCAGTAACATGTATTTAGGTTGTTGTTTTTCTCTCTTGGTAAGAATATTTTAAATTATTTAGGAAGTGCTTAGGGAAATAACCGTTTATAGAGCATGCGTAACTGCAGAGAACTGTAGTTAATCATGTTTATTGTAATAGATGACTGAGTGGTCTTTTGTGCTTTAAGCGAGGGTGTACCTGGGCAGAAGACGATTTGACCTCCCTTTATTTGGCTTGTTGGGAGAGGCATACCAGACTAGAAGCACCATGCTGGCACTCCCAGGACTGCGCGTCCTGGGTTTGTTTAGACACTGCCTCATTCAGAGTAACCCACAATCATATGTATATGCATATGCATGTGTTTCTGTATGTGTCTATAAAGCTGTGGGTTTTCCCATGCAAAATGCCTCAAGTGCTCATAAAGAGATCCGCAAAGTAGATGGAATTGCGTGAAATGGGCCAATTTACCAACAGTGAAGCCAATGCAGGACCATCTCCTTTTCCTCTTATCTTTCTTTCTCACTTTCAGTTACTTCTCTCACTGCCTTCCCTCCAAGGAGCCACAGGCAGTGCCCTGTGCATCTCTGGGCTTCCCCAGTCATTTTAGTACACTCACAAATGAACTGGGGCCATGGAGCTCGTGTGGCATTAAGATGAGTGAGCTGCCCACCAAAGCTCTTCCGTTTACAAGGATTTGCTGCATCAGGATCTGTTACCGTGGTTCACTTGCCTCTTGCATTTACTATTTGAAAACTTGGTGTTTCTGGAGTTTTCTTCTTCTTCAGACTGACAGGGATATTAACATGCAGAGCCAACGGAGGAGAGGGATAAATTGGTTCTGGGAGCCATATTCCCCTTGCACTTCAAAGCATGATTTGGTATCCTGCTGAGTGTAGGACATGCATCTGTTTCCTTACTGACCTGGTTTGCCTATAACAGTCACCTACATTTGGGTTAACCCATGGTTTGTTACCCTACCCTGGGTTTGCCTGGTAGACAATCAAAGAAGACATTTTTTGTTTTCGCCATCCCTGGGCTGTTTGTTCTTCCTACCTATGTACAGCTCTCATACTGAAATGCAGGGCAGCTGGTATGTTCTTTTTATCAGTCCTGCCTCCCATTTCTTTATCCTGGTGAAACAAACCAAACGACTGAGGATTCGCAACCCAATAACAACTATGGCTTCTTTTCTCTGAGTGCATAGATCATGATATCTTAATGTGTCTAGTTTTGCACATTGTGACAATCTAGAATGCAATAGCCTGGGAGTTAAATAAACCATGGGTTACTGTTACGTATGAAGCAGGTCACCGTAATGTTATTTTCCTGATAGTTCCCTAGAATGTAACATATGCAAATAGAAAGCAGCCTTCATTCAAAACTGGAGCTCACCTTATAATTTTTCAAGTGGTATTTTGTTTTTAAATTCTGATTTCCAGGATTAAATTCTTCTGACTCTCCTATTCAATCTGTCCCTTCTCTGCCTAATGCTGCTAAACATTCCTTACCTTTAAATTCTTTTATCAAGTCAGCCTGAACATTCAAAAGCGAGCAGTGCCCTCAGAGAGTTTGGTATGCATTGGATCCTGTGTATTCATTTGTTTTTCTGTTGAATTGCAGTAAATTGTAGCTTGTGATTTCAACACTATCTGGTTGAAGAAGCACTTTTTAAATTAAGAATACTTTGTTTTGTATATAAGAAATGGTGTACATTCATACATTTATAAGATTTAATAAACTAGATTCTGTTCATGAACCATGGAACCAGAACTGATCTTATGCTGGGTCTCCTATGTTTCTCATGTCCCATGAGAAAGAAACACCAGTGTAGACAAAGCAAACAGCAAACCAAGTTGTATAATCATTGAATTCAGCACCTTTAATGGCACGGAAGCAAAGCAGGGCAAACGACAAGAGACTGAGGGTCTCATCCAAGGTATTGAGTCTTTCCTGGTTCCCTGATTTCCCAGGAAACGTACGTCCTTGAGCGGAAGGTGTACTGGAACCCTCATTACATGGTACCCTTTGTCAAACAGTCATTATTGCAAATACAGCTGGTTGCCCCTGTGCAATCTGCAAACCGCACACTCCAGAGCAACCTTGTGGAGATCTGCATGGGCACTTCAGTGTAACTCGGAAGCAAGGTGGTGCAAGCTGTGCACATTGCAGCCAAGAGGCCCGTAGAGTGAAGAGTGCGACAGAATCTTTCTGCTGGAGTTTTAAAGGCAGGGATTTGGTGAGTATCATTTCTTGATGTCTCCCAGGAGCTCAAGACAGCAGAAATCTCCACAGGCAATCCTGCAGGGTTGTGCTACTCACAAAAAGACGGGCCGCCACTCCTGTAACTGGGGTGGAAGTTGTAGGTGTCAAAGGAAGTGATGAAGTTGTCTGGACCAGTCACGCTACTTTTCTCCAGGAAGGTATTGATCCCATGGTTCCTGTACATGCCAAACTTCACAAGGGTGTCTGAGAAGGCGTGTGGGCTGGTGTGGAATTGGGTCTGTTTAAAGAAACAATGTTAGAGGGCTGGACCTCGGGAACCTGGAAAATAGACTTGGGCCCAATGACCTGGCCAAGCAATACTCCCCCAGGGTACACCAACTCCCAAAGGCCCTGGCGTGCATTCAGCCAGAATTACATCTGAGCCAGAGATCTCTAGCCTCACGTCCAACTAGAGCATGGGTCCTCAATCTACGGCCCATGGGCTGGATACGGCCTGCCTCAGCTTTTGGACTCGCTCTCTGAGCGAGTCCAAAAGCTCTGAGCTGGTGCAGGTGTTCTCTGAAACTGAGCAGAGCACGCTCCAAATTGTAATAGCTCAACTGTGCATGTGCTGCATCATCCCCCCCACCCCACCCCTTGCACGCATATATAGAGCGGAAATATGGAGTGGGAAACAGAAGAGGGCAGAAGAGAGACACGAAGACACTAAAAAAGGGTAAGAAAAATATAACTTTTTAAGTCCATTTTTAAGTGTGTGAGCCACGTCCCCAGGCTCTGGACCAAGCCGTGGCCGCCTCGCTGAGCCTGGGGGCAGCTGCTCAAAGCAGCTTGGCCAGAGAAGGCCGTGGCCTTCTGTGGGCAAGTCGCTGCCGTCGAGTGGCCGCCATGCTTCTTCCCCCCCGTGGCGGGAGGAGCCCACTCGGCCTGCTGCGGCCCCATCCCTCGCCTCAGAAAGCAGCCCTTACCGCCCTCCCCGCTGCCCTCTCCCGGCCGGGGGAGCCACCCCGCGCTCGCCTCTACAGCCTCCTGCTCCTGCTCCCTCGGAACCGGGGCGGCAGCAAGGACTATAGTTTCCATCATGCCCAACCAGCATGGCCAACGGAAGCTGTAGTCCAACTCATCTGGACAGTACGTTTCGGCAAGGTTGCACTTAAATATGGTAGTCATTAGCTCTGCAGCCATTGTGTATTGTGGGAATTGTTCTGGGCTGACTTGCTTCAAATACTAAGCGTGGCATTAACAGCATTCATCCTTAGTATTTTTGCTTCAGTCTTCCTAAATGCCAGTTGCAGTCATCAGCTGCATGATGCAAGATACTACATTTAGTGCCTTGGTTGTGTTGTAGCTCTGTCCCTCGAATATGGACATGCTCTTCCCCACCTCATCTTGGGCTTCTGCTGCAGCCCGAGGGAGCGGAGCAAACATTTTCAATTTTTTTAAATGTTAATTATTTTTATTTTAATTAATTTTAATGTGCAGTGTGCATAGGCATAGGTTCATATTTTTTGCCTCCCCCCAACAGCCCCTATACTCTGCCCCCCAACAGTCTAAGGGACAGTGAACTGGCCCCCTGTTTAAAAAGCTTGAGGACCCCTGAGCTAGAAGAATAAGCCCAGGCTGCAGCCGATGCGACTTCCCATGGAGCAACCCCAGATCCATCCAGTTCCCCCTCTTGCTACTGACCGGCATTTCATGCACCGTTGGTGGTTTCCCGCCATAGTCCATGTTCGTGGTCCTGAACAAGGGATTGCGCTCTTTCATTCTGCAGGGCAGAATTAAGGTTCAGTTAAGCAGGATTCCTCCACGGTAGGTGCCCCCCCCCCACTTGAGACACCAGAAGGCGCCTGGGGCTGGAGCCTCACCTGTAGCCCCGAAACCACCCTGGGTGGTTGAACCGCGTGGGCAGGTTGGGGTCCGTCCGGTAGCAGTCGCTGGTCCGCTGGATGGCGCTCGCCGCCGCCGCCGCCGCCGCCTCCTTCGGGGGGGTTCCCGCCTCCGGGGGCGGCTGTTCCTGGGACATCGCGGGGCAGCGCGCCGCGGGGAAGGCCGCTCGGCCCGACCCCGACGGCGGAAACGGAGCCAGGGGTTGCCAAGCGACGGCCAGACGCGGCAGCCCTTAAAGAGGCCGCAGCTCCGGTCGGCCGTCTGGGGATGATGGGACTGGTAGTCCAAGAGCGCCTAGGAGGCTGCCGGCTGCCGCTCCCCGGTGTACGGGCTTTGGCCTGCCATCGCCACCCCGGCACCCTCCAGATGCTTCGGACTCCATTTCCCAACAGCCCGAGACAGCACGGCCAGCCTGGAACCTCTTGGAGGGCGCCAGGCGGGGAAGCGCCGCGCTGCTCGGATCTGGTCGCGCCGGCTCCCCGCCGTCATCCAGGCACGGACTGCAGGCTCTTTGGGGCGGAGGGCTCTGCCCGCTCTCGTACTTATTCTTCCTGCGCGCTTTGATCTGGTTCGATGGCCTGCCTGCCTGCCAAGGCGCACGCTTAAGGATCGCGGCCACGAAGCGGTATGCGAGCGACCCCTCCAACCATCAAGGCGCGGGGTGTGTCCTGCCCCCAAATCCTCCCGTGGGGTCGATCGATTCAAACGGCCCGTGCGCCTGTCGAGCTGCCCGCCCCGGCACTTAGCTCGTGCCGCCGGGACCGCGGAAGCGCGGCATGGGAGCTGTAATCCTACACGTCTAGCTGGGCGACGTTGCAGGGAGTCACAACGGGAGTTGCAGGCCCCCGGCTTGGACAAGGCTGCTTGCCGCCTTCCAGCCTCCTCGCGAGTCTATCCGCTGCACCGGCGCTCGGGCGACAGCAGGGGGGGCTCGCCCGCGCCTCCGGGTGCCGTCCTGCCCGCTCCGCCCCGGATGAGCAGAGGACGGCATGGCGGCGCCCCGGGTCCTACGGGCAGGTGAGCAGCGGGCCGGGGCAGGGCGCCTGCATCCGAGGGATCGTCCCTGCCCGCCCGCGGATACTTTCCTTTTCGCATCGCGGCGCGCACAAGCGCCGGATCGGGCCTTGTCCTGGGCGCTCTGCACACGTTTTAAGAAAGGAAGGCGCTTCTCACGCGAAAAAGGCGTGCTGCGCGTGCTCCCATTGAAAGGAAGGCGTGCTGGGAGGGCTCTTAAAAGCGGGGGGCCAGATGCGGTAGGGTGCTGCAGAGGTGTGGTCGCCATCTCTGTCCCCTGCCCTCTAATAGCGTTGCATAGGATCGGGGTCTCCTTGGTGCCTCCAAAGAGCCTGCTTAAGCCCAAGCAATCTGGCATTGCAAAAGGAGGGAAAGTTGTGTCCCCCTCCCCTCATTGTGGGGGCTTTCCAGATGCGTAAGGCTACAATTCCCAGCATCCCCAGCCAGGAGGGCCGGTGGAGCGCACTCTCCTCCTCCCAACAGCCCTGTGAGATAGATGAGAGTCAGTGACCAGACCCAGAGTCACCCAGGCTGAGGGGAGCCTAAACCCAGGTCTCCCAAATCCCGCTCCAGAAGCAAGGCCTTTTCCAAAATACCTGACCTTCAAAAGCTCATGTTTTCCTTTCCTTTTCTTCCACCTCACACTTGCTTCTCGCAGCAGCCACTGTCGGGGGCCACAGCTTTGCAGCTCTGGCGAGGCCGTCTACCAGCATCCTGTGGCTTCATAGAACACTTTCCATCCCAGCTGCTACACCCCAGGAGGACTCCCATGGTGAGCATCACAGAGGTGGGGAGGGGCAGGCCTGCGTCCGGCACGGGTTCCCAAGCTTCTCCTGGCTCGTGCCTTGAATGCAGCTTGAACAAATGCAAGTTTGTAGGAGCCCATCACTGGGGATTTAAATGGGGGGCTCTGATTTTCTGGGAGGAGTGCCCACAAAGACAGCTGCAGTGCTGAATCGGGTCCAGTTTCAGGGCAAATTCTCAAGGCTTTCAGCTGCTCCCAGGCAGTCAATTCCCAACTGATCACCTCCAGCAGGCATCAGCAAAAGGATACTTGAAGAGCCCCTGAAACATGTGGATTTCTTCAACGTGCGAGAACTCTTCTCTCTGCGGGATCTCTTTGATGCCCGAGTCCATCTCGGGCACAAGAAAGGCTGTCGGCACAGGTCAGTTGCTCTGCAAGGATCCCAACATTTGGGGTAACAAGCGAAACTTGAAAACATCACCTGCAGCTTGTTGGCTAGAGAAACGGGACTATGCATAGACTTAAATATGTTTATAGTTTAACATAAAAAGAAAAAATGTGGGGGCTGACCCAGTAGGTCTGATGTTTTTGATGACTGATGCTTCTTAGTTTCTTTTTGTTAGGTATATTAAGAATAAAACTTACACAAAAAAAGGAAAACATCACCGGCAGCAGAAGCAAGGGCTGGTGCAAATATTAAACCCTTGACTGCAAGCAAATGCATTTCAGTTACTAAAAAGCCACAGGATCGCCCAGGGCTGAGCTAACTTTCACAGGCTGGGTGCTTCCGCAGGAGATGCCTCCAGCGTGTTCCCAGCAACGCAGGATACAGCCATGCCTGTTAGACAGAGTCCCAGGGGTGTGACTGGCTGGGAACACTGGGAGCTGCGGGAGTGTTTCTGTCTCAACATGCGCAGGATCGCACCCTTAACTCTCTTGGTTGCGGGACACATGCAAAGGCATCCCAAGATGAGGAGCAGGTTCATCTGGAGGAAATATGGAGATATTACGCAAGTGGGAGGAGCCTGATCTTGGTGTCTCCACAGGTTTATGGAGCCGTACATCTTCGGCTGCCGCCTTGACCAAGACATCATTGACCTCAACCAGACCGTGACCCACCTCCAAGCAGCGCTCAACTTCATCGCTCACATCGCCTACCGCAAAGGCATCATCCTCTTCATCAGCCGCAACCGCCAGTTCTCCTATCAGGTGGAAACCACCGCCAGGGAGTGTGGCGAGTATGCCCACACGCGCTACTGGCAGGGGGGCTTGCTGACCAATGCCTTCATCCAGTATGGGTTGGGGGTCCGACTGCCGGACCTCATTATCTTCACTCACACCCTCAACACGATCTTCGAGTCCCACACAGCCATCCGGGACGCAGCCAAGATGAACATCCCGACCGTGGGCGTGGTGGACACCAACTGCAACCCGTCCCTCGTCACCTACCCGATCCCGGGGAACGACGACAGCCCGCCAGCCATGGCGCTGTACCTCCGGCTCTTCAGGATGACCATCTTGCGAGCCAAAGACAAGAGGAGGCAAATGGAGGTGCTGCATGGACTGGGCGGCACAGCGGGTTAAACGGCCCCGCTTGAAATCCCGCCCCGTGTCCTTCAGAGGCTCCGCAGCACAAGCTCACATGGGTCCGTGTTGCGCGTCATGCAAGTCAAATTTGCTGATCAGTACGTGAGATGAGCCCTTCCCCAAACCAGTGCCCCCTGCACTTGTTGGACTACAATCCCAGCATTCTCTCAGTAACCGAGTCACTTGGAGGGCACCAGCCAAGGGCAAAGCTGCTGTATTCCATGAAAACCTTGACTCTACGTTCTGATGCCTCTGGAAAGGCTAGAGCTTAGCCAGGGGTATGACAAGGGCACAGGCCAGGTCCTCAGGCCCCTCATGGGTGCACCAATGGAAGTCTCATTTTTTCTCATTCTAATTGCCATGTAGGGGGCAGTTTTCAAGGGGAAATGCAACTGGTGAAGGAAGTGTCTACATCTCCCCTCCCCAAAGGTTGCAACACCCCCACAGAGCAATGGAGTTTCCATTGATACCAATGAAGAGATTGGGAACAAAAAGAATTGTCAGTTCCTGTAATGCCCCTAGATTTATCCCAAGCGAGGAAGGCCCAGAAAAATTGTGTCAGGACTTGTGCATGCAAACTGGACCTCACGCTGGAGTACAAGGTTTCCATCCTCTTTATGACTGCATGTCCCTTTTGCTCTGCTGGTCTTGACCTGTGTGGTGATGGTTGAATTCTGGAGGAGATGCCGCCGGGCCAGGACACCTGTCAGCCCAGGCAGCAGAGCTGATGGGTCAGGGATTGCTGGAGTTGTAGCTAAAACACCCAGAAGGTGAATGCATGCGTCAAAGCTGTACGTTCCTGGCACATCCTCTCTTGATCAGTGCGGAGCTGGCACAAACCTTGAAAAAGTGAATTACAGAATGTGTTGTCTGGAGCAGCCTTTTGCCCGCATTCGTGATACACTCTAGATAGCCCACACCTGGCTGGGAGACACAAGGTGTTGTAGTCAACACACAGTAAAGGGTTATGCCAACTGACTTCTGCAAATTTGTGACAGTTCTGTTACCTGTCCCCAAGCTTTGTAGGGGACATGAAAACCAGTTCTGTTACCTGGTTTTTGCTTTCTGAAGGGCCAATAAAAAGCAATTGGTTTACAGAGGCCTGCATTTATTGAACTAGCAATTATGGGAGTCAGTCCTACAGTCAAAAACAGCCCTATAATTCTGAGCATTCTGCAGCCAGCATATGGTTTTGTTTTGATTGCAAGCACTTTGAAGAATTTGTGGTGTAAAAGCCGAAAATAAATCGGGAGGCCTGCCAATGAGGTTCTAGCATCTTCATGTACCTCTGAGGCTTTCGGCCTCCAGCCTGATGCCCTCCCCAGAGTTCCCAGAGAATTGTGAGGGTCAGACTCCAACCCTCCATTTGGAAGGCCCCAGGTTGGGGAAGGCTGCTCCAATCAAGGCAGAGGAGATATTTGGGGCGCCCTCCCCGGCCCAAAAGTGCCTCTGCACATTGTGGGGAGCAAAAGGGGTGAGAATTTCGTGGTCCTGTGCCAGGCATTCTGCTTGTGTGCCAAGGCCATGCTGCAGGCTCGTCCAGGCTAAAACTGGATTGGGGGCTTCTTGGGGGCCCCAGGAAGCCCCCTTCAGCATTGCTCCAGAGCAGGGGGTCACCTGCCTGCTCTAGGAGGCAAAAGACTCCTACGAAACTTGCCGGTAAAGCGGCCTACAAGAGAGCCTGGGTGCGGCTCGTGGGAGGTGGACACGCTTTCTGCCCCACGGAACTGCCCTGCTGCTGCCCCTCCGGAGGAGGGCAAGGAGACGCCTCTGAGCCGAGGCCATGGCCCCCGCAGGCCATCCCCAGAGCAGCCGGGGCAGGGCTGGGAAGCGCCCAGAATGGTCCCAAGCGGCTCCCCGGGGAAGCCTTCCCAGAGCCCGGGTGGCATCGCTCCGCCCTTGCGGGGCTTCCTCGGGCAGCAAGGCATCTGCAGGAGGCCCCTCCGCAGAAAAGGCTTGGGCTGCAACTCCCATCATCCCCGGCCGGCACGGCCGATGTCGAGAAATAGGAAGGAGCTGCAGAGCAAAGCATCTTAACAACCACCTCCCTCCTCTTCCCGTCCTGCATGGAGATGAGGGGCGTTGCAGCCCAGTAGGTGGGAAGGCGGCTCTGACCAAAACTTCCATCAACGACTTCTCGCTTGTGAAAACCCGGAAGCACCCCCCCACACACACGCGAAAGGACATCTTTCTTCAATTTCCCCTGACTTCTCTCTATGGTTCCCGAACCATAAAGAGACCAAGGAACGACAGCCCAGCGGAAGCGCGCGCGTGAACGGAGCGTCTGTTCCGGCGTGCGTGCTCTGCACATGCGCTCTCCTGCCGCTCCGCCCCTCCCTATATAAGCCGGAAGTGCCCGGGCGATCGGCCATTTGGTGCCTGGCGTAGTGGTGGGTGAGTGTCTTGTTGTTTTTCGGTAAAGTTCTGTTAATTAATCGTTAATGGGAATAAAATCGGTTTGTAAGCTGTCCTGGGACGTTTTGTAAAGGACGGGATATAAATATTGTAATTAAGTTAAATTTAAATTAAAATGTTCTTTCGATGTTGCTTGTTCCTCAGCATTTATTATTCGTTAGTTGATTGTTAGTCATTAATTTAACAGTGTTGAGCTTTCGGCATTTGTTGTTCCTTGTTCACAATATCAGTGCTCTGGACTTAGCCTTACCGAGACCATTTTGGAGCCAACAGGGCTTGATGATTGTGGCTTGATTAGAATGGTCTGCATCCTGCTTGCTGAGGATGATGGGAGCTATGCTTTTAATAGGGTCATGACCAGATTTTGCCCACTATGGCTTTCCTTAATGTGGATGTTGCCTCTGCAGGTAACACGTGTTTTAGCATTCCCTGGTGCCCTGCATATGTGTGGGACTTCAGCTTCAGCCTTGCACAGCATGGCATGCAGTCCCAGCAGATCTGGAGAGCCCCACGTGGGAAAGGCTGCTGCTCATTTCTATCTTGGTAGGCCTGCCCCTTGCTTTCTGTGGTCATTCTGTGCCCTCAGGCCATCTGTGATTTAGGGCGACTCAAAAAGAAAGGCCTGTCTGTAACAGCTCCACTTAACCCTTCAAAGTTCAAGGCTTTGTGTATTCAACCCATCTCATATTTGGTCCTCCTTTTATTCTTTGCCTCCAACTAGCCCTAGCATGCATGAAGTCACCCAGTGGTGGAGACCAGAACCTGGATCTCTCCAATCCCAGCCCTCTGCTCTAACCACTACACCACGTGTAATCAGCTGAGTGGCTGCTGCTTTGTCTGCTTACCCAGTTCTCATTCAGTTCCAGGATGGGTGTCCGTCATGCTCCCCGATGTTTTGGACACAGGAGGATTTCACTGGAACCTGTGGTGAGTCTGACTTCCCGGCAGTTTCCTGCCCCTAGAGGCGTTACAGGTGTGGCTGTCGTGTGCCACATTTGTGTCATTAGGTGGCAGAGAGAATCAGGCTATGTCTACGCTCAGTGTTCCACGTCCCATGAACACTCAGAATGATTAGTAGCCTGACAGGTGGAATCCTCTTGCTGTCTCCCTCAGATCTTCAGAGGTGTGCTCAGAAAGCGTGGGCTTGTCAGTCAAGGACCTCCAGAGGAGGGGACTCAGGGATTATTATAAGGGCAGGGTTTCTCAATGCTTGGGAATCAGGAAGCTTCCTGTACCTTGATCATAACTTGGCACAGGTTTTGGGGTCCCAGGTGCAAGTTATATTTTTGCATTGCTCTTGAAGTTCTGCAGAGCTGCAAGTCCTTGACGTGGGGCAGGCAAATTGAACCTTGGGGCTGGGATCAAGTCCAGTCGGCGGGGTTCCCAAGCCAGTCATGATCTCCACATCTCATCAGGTCTTTGCACATGCATGTTTCCCCCTCAGCATTTTCAGAGGATCTTTGACTTCTGTGCTGTCTTTTTCACATATTCAAAGGGTTGAAATGTCTCCTAAAGTGAAGCTACCAGCAGAAAGAGCATTCAGCTAAAATTTAAGGCATTTTGTTCCGTCCCCCTTTGCTTTTGGCCCTGTATGCAGCTGGGATGTAGCCCCCAGGAGTTTCTCCAGAATGAAGCTGGGCCTTATGGCTGAAAGGTTAGGCACCCCTTGAATTTCAGTCTTGTTTTCTGGTGGCTCTTGAGTCATAAATGCCACTCTTTGGATTGCAGAAATATGATGACCCGCCATGAGAGGAAGTGTGCTGCCCACCGATGGTAAGTGAGTGCAAAGATGGCAGCCATCTCTTCCTCCGAGCTTGTCCTGGAGCTTGCATACATCGCCTTTCAGTCAGGCTGGGGCTGTGCTTCTGAAACACCGTGCTGCTTGCAGACTGCCTTGTGTCTGAACTTGCTTGGCTGAGCGTCACTTTCATGAACATGGATTTTCTGATGTGCCTGTGTGTGTCCTCATGTTGTCCCAGCATCTCTATGAGGTAGACCCGGCGGAGAGCATAGAGGCTTGTCCCAAGCACATCTGCCGAGGAGATGGCGGGAGGAGGCAAACGTAAATTTGCCTGGTCTGCAGTCTCCACTTTCCCCGCATCTGGGTCATGGGGTGGGGGGCAAGAGGCTGCTGTGGGGGCAGTTGGAGAGATGGTGCGGGTGTTTGCAGCCCTTGCCCTGGAGGCGGTACAGGCTGGGCTGCAGTGCCATTCTTGTGTCATGCAGGGGCAGAGAAAAGCAGGCTGTGTCTACACTCTGTGCTCTGCAAAGCAAACCTGTGGGCACGCGGGATGATTTGTAGCCTGGCGAAACAGTTTGGCTTCCCCATGAGCCCGCATTTCATTTGTTCGTTGCACATTTAATCCTGCTTTTCCGACAACTCCTGTCTCCCACACTGGCTTATGTCAATCAAAGAGAGACGGGGTCTCCTCCATTAGCTTTGCAAATAAAAATCCAAAGATGCCCAGGGAAGTGAAAGAAGGAAGAGGAATTCTTCAAAGGTGGAGTGTGTTGGAGAGCTCTAAGTGGGCACTGAAAGACAGTTTGACTGGGCCAGTCTCCCCTGACATGCTGGAAGCCCAGCTTGAACCAACCAGAGCTCCTGCTCCTGTGGCCAGTGCATGACGCAGGCATTCTGTCTGCTTGTCTGTGTCTTACCAGGCTTCACTTCAGCAGTTCAGGGAAACAGCATCTCGGTGAGCACCGGGCCTGGCCATGATGTGCCAGAAGTTTGGCTGACCAGAAAATACAGAGCTTGGGAGCCTGCTCTGGAGTATCTTGAAGAAGGTCAGAGCTTTCTGAGAAGAAAGTTAAAGAGAAACCCAAGAGAGCAGCGATCTAGTGTTTTTTTATCTGTGGTATTAGAATCTTTCAAAGGGTTTCTCCCCAATATTGAAGCATTTTAATACTGAAGATCTGCCTTTCCAAACCAGCCTTCTCCAGCTCCCCACATTCCTCTGCCCCACCACAAGTTGTAGTCCAACCCTTCCGGAGTGCACCAGGTCAGAAGAGGCGCCTCTACAGAATTAGGAGCTGAAATGGTCAGTTGTCTTGCTTTTGAATTAACTGGTAGTGGCTGTCTTCAGAGTCAGAAGCAGTGTGGATCTGAATGCACGGATGTGACCTTTGGGTGTGCGCCTACCAGAGTCTTTGAAAAGCATTGAAAACTTGTTCAGCCTTTAGTAGCAACCGGTGCCCACCCTCCCACACCCCCCATTGCAGTTGGGCTTCTTAAAGCAAATCATTCTGGCGTGATCTGTGGAGGGAGAACAGCATCTCCAGAAGCGCCGGATTCAGTTCTCCAGCCATGCTGCACTGAGCACCCAGGCATGCGAGGGTTCTGCTTGGAAGGTAGACTTGGCTTTCCCTGGACGTGCTTCCTTTCAGACTGGTCGCTGGAGTGTAATCTGTAAGACTTCTGGGGGCACAGGACAGCCACGCTGGTCAATTTCCCAGGAGGATTCCAGTTTTCCTCCCAGCTTTTCAGTACAGGGAAACACTTTGCTGAACTACGCAACTCAGAAATGTGTGTGTTCAGTTCTTGAGTGTTTTCCTTCTGCAAAGGCAGCTTCTAAAGCAGAATGCCCCTGAACACAAGCTTTTGGTGCAAATCTCCTGCCAGAGCAGGACACACGACGAGCGCTGCCCAGTGGCTGCTGCTGACCTGCCCCTGTAGAGACATAAATGCGACTGCCGTGTCGTTTTTATGCCAGAAGGAGGCGGACAGGAAATGTCAGGCTGCCCGAGCATCTTCATCCTTGAAGACTGGGTGACAGATGATGGGGGCAGCCCTACATGGAAGCCCCGCCCCTTAGGCTTTTTGGCAAAGTTGCTTTATTTGCGTTTTCTGTGAACCAGTTATATCTTTTTTTCTTTCCCCAGGTTGGCTTATATGGCCTTTCTCTTCCCTGTTTTACCTTCACAACAACCCTGAGAGTTTGGTCTGACCAGAAGTCATGCACTATGCTCCACAGCTGAGTCAGGAATGGAAGTTGCACCCCCCAAGTCCCAGTCCAGCCCGGTGTCCTCTTTCATGAAGACAAAGGCTCCAAGGGAAGAGGTTCGTTTTATTTAGGGTTGACAGCATTCCCTTGAGGGGGATCTGCAGCTTGCCCCTTCATCTGCTTTGCTCCAGAACTTGCTGTCAAAAGCACACGCCCCAGCCCAAATGGCCAGGGCTGTGCCGAGGGGGATGAGCAAGGAAGCGGGCCTGCTTCACAGGTCCTGCTAAAAATACTTAGGCCCCGTCCTTCCCCATCCCTTTTACCTTTTGTGCTGTGGCTTTAGGTGTTGCTCTCTGCAGACAGGGCCCATCTCAATCGAGTCTGGTCCATGACTCCCAAGCAGAGCAGGTCAGAGCAAGCTGCCCCAGCTGGGCTAGGGCCTCTGGGATACAAGCAGCCAAGCTCCCAGGGAGAGCAAACAAAGTTTGGTGGGGGAGTCCCCTAACATTTTCCTGTTTTCTTTATTTCACCTTAATCCTCCCCAATGCACACACTTGGAACACACTCCCATTTACTAGTGAGGCTTGTTAATCTTTAGTGAGGACTGGAGAAAGCACCAATTGTCACGACAGCCCTCCAAGGCAGAACCACTTGGGTTTCACCAACAGTGGATGAGGGAGACTCCACAGCGGCCTGCAACACATCGTCTGCTCTCTCGCCTGAGAGGACCGTGTCCTGCACGTGCAACAGTTGCAAGCTAGTAGCCCTGTTACACGAAAAGGTGAGTGCACTGGAGCGGTGGGCGTCACCCTCATGATGATAAAACAGTTTCTGGACAGCAGAGGAGCTTGCAACAGCTTAAGCACTCCAGACGCAAGAAGAGCATCGGCAAGCCATGGAGGCGGCAGAAGAGAACCCTTCGGGGAGGAAAATGAGGAAACTCGCTGGAGCAGCGTGGCAGACACAGGCCTAGAAGGCCCTGCGCCAGTGGAACTCTCAACCTGCTTTAAATTACTTGAGAAAGAGATGGGTGAGGAACCCACTGTGAAAAAAATGGATAGCACATTTGTGGAACTCTGAAAAAGAGAGAAAAGGCCAAGAAAGGGAAAAGGAGAAGAGAGTTGTGGGACATTCCCTGTTCTGCAAGATGGGAAAATGTATGTTGTGGCAACCCAGAGAATCACCAAGGATGCAGTCTCCCTGGTGCCAATATTGATTTATTTTGTTGGTTATATATTGTATTACTGTTTTTATTCACTGTAAGCTACTCTGATACAATTGTTGTAAAGAACGGCATACAAGTGTTTTAAATAAATTAAGCATCCCCCTTTGCTTTTTCTGCAAGAAGCATTTTCCCCTTTCTGGGGTTCATGAGTGTCAGGAGTTTCTGTTAATGGCACACATTAAACACTGCTTGGATCTGATTGAAGGTTTTCTGGCATTGTGGTGGTCTAAGGGTCCTGGGGAAGGATGCTTTTTGGTGTAGGGAGAGGCGGACAGCTGGCCCTCAGCTTACCAAAAATGCAGCAGAAGGTCACAGCTGCTCTCAAATGGGAAGCGCACCCAGAAGTGAAACGTGCAAGCTGCGTGTTCAAAGCTACTTGCCTCTCTCAGACAGTTCTGTAGTTGCCTGCCTGAGCCCTTTGGAGCTGTCCAGGGCCGGGTGCTGTTCCAGTGTGGTGCCTTTTACTCTTCAAAGGTTCTTCGGCCTGGAAGGGAACCCCTTTGCCGCACAGCCAGTAAGCATCTGAAGGTTCCTAGACTTGCCCCTGCCTCCACTCCCGAGAATTAAAATGCCTTCTCTATAAACAAACAGGCAAAAAATAGAACACATTCAAGCCGGGAAATGTTGCCCTTCTTGAGACCTTGGGAAAGGCTACCTAATTAATAAACTGTCCTGTCCACATGTAACCGATTTCCCATGGGTACCTATTGGACGTCAGTGCTGCTGATGTGAAGTCTAGTTGCAGGAGGCCCTGAGACCCAGAAGGGGTGAGGGCTGCTCTGACCCACGGAAAACACTCTTGCTCTATAAAGTGGAGGTGCTGAACGTCTTTCACCCCAAGGGCCAGGCTGTGGTGGGCAGAGCTTAAGGCAAAAGGAACGGCCAAGACCACCCACGTTCTCCCAGTCCTAGGCCCTGGCATTGGTGGGGTGGGGCTGGGAAGCTGCCCTCTTACCGGGGAGAGGCCAAATTGTGTCCTCCCAGCCTTGGAAGGGCCAGTATTGCAGAATGACCAGGCTTGAGAGAGGTGTGGGAATGTGCACGGGCAGGAGAGCCTGTCTGGGGTGCCGTGCCCTCGCGGGATGCTCACCTTGGCATGCGGTCCCTGAGAGAAGTGCCTCCAACCATGTAGCCCAGGCTGTGTGGGCTGGCACCGGGGGCCTGTGTGGGGGGGGTGATCCGCCAAGGGCCCCCAGCCCAGCGGCAGCCCACTGACCGCCCCCCCGAAGGTGCTGCTGCGCCTCACCACCGCAGCCCCCTCTGCCCTGCCCCTTGCTCTGGTCCAGCAGGAGGAGCTGGTGAGGAAGATGCCCAGGCTCCCTGCCTACCATGCAGCACGTAGCAGGTGCAAGGAGGAGCGAGCGGCAGCGGGTGGCCGGGGTGCGCGGTGGTCTTGCCTCCAGAGCCAATGCGGACGTTGCCCGCAGCGTTCGAGAAAGAGGGGATGCCGGGGACAGGCCTCCAACCAAGGGCTCTGGGAGAAGCAGGCAGTTCCCCTGGGGTTGACAGGCTGCCACACAGGCCCCAGAGGGTTGCAAAGTGCTCAAAGCAGCCAAGGAACTGAGGCAGGGCCAGCAAGAGGAATGCTATTTATTTACACCCAACTGTGTTCATCCAAGACCAGCAGCAGCTGCTGCAGCCAAGCCAGAGCCTTCCCTCTGCCAACAGCACTGCCACCTGAAGGGCATTTCCCTCTGCAAGGGTCTCCTTGGAGCCGTTCTGGGATCCCTTCAGCCCCCACTCCGGGGCATTCTCACGGGTCTAATGTGCAGCGATGCTGGTTTCCCCAGGCAGGGAGGACCAAGGGCAAGGAGCCATGGCTGCACCTTTCCCGGGCCCTTGGTGCCACATGCCCACAGCCCCAGTGGTAATTCTACGAGTATTTGGTATTGGAGATTTTCTTCCACAGCAGAGTCTTGAGGCTGTTGAGCATGAGCGAGTGATGGACCTCCATCTGGCTCGCCAAGCCGCTGAGGGTCATGCATGTTCTCAGCTGCTTCTGCAGCTCCTGCCTCAAGTCTGGGGGCGCCCCGTGGAGCAGGTACTCCTGCAGCAGCCCACACACCTTGGCCAGGTTGGGCTGCACCATGTCGCTCTTGCACTGTTTCATAAGCTTGTCACACGGGGCGGTACAGTCCTTCCCAAAGGTGCAGTCCACGTTCTGCTCACAGTGGCGGCCCTTGAGGAAGCTTCGGATGGCCATCTCTGTGGCCACTTTGCGGAGGTCGACCATCTTGAAGTCGTACCGGTCGTTGAAGCCCATGTTCTTGAAGCCTGTCTCACAGATGTAGAAGTTCCCGAAGGGGCCGTGGAAGACCTCTTCCACGAACTCCAAGAGGCCAATGGCAATCTTGGCCCGGTGTGGCCACGCTGGAGAGAACCACTGGTGGAAAACCCTGTGCACAGCCACGGGTAGCAGGGCCTGCAGGAACTGCGGGACCTCCGCCGTGTGCAGGGAGGGGTGGCGGATCTTCTCGGTGACATACAGGTCGCCGCAGTGGCCCAGCAGTCTGGCGGTGTGCTCCTTCCCGTGCAAGGACAGCGTCAGCAGGAAGTCATTCAGCTGGAGCAGGGCCCAGATGGATTTTGCCTCCGCCAGGGACAACTTCCCATCCTGGCTGACATCAGCCATCGCAATGACTCTGTTCACCAAGGGGGCGAGGGAGGCCTGGTCACCCAGGTTCGACTGCAGAAACAAGAACACACACCGCATCAGCTCCCCACCGCCATGAACGTCACCAACCCACAGCCTAAGGTTTCATTTTACAGCCTCAGCCGCAAACGCTTTCCATTTTGGGAAGGACTCTGGATGTTGCTTTTTAGTTCTGTTTTGCTCTTAGGATGATTTTATATCCATTTTTCCTCTTACCATAAGCCATTGCGTGCCTGGCCTTGGAAAGGCAGTAAGAAAGTTTATTCAAACACAAACAATTCACTTTCTGGCCTAAGTACAGCAAACTAAGGGCCAAAAACACTGTTTGAAATCTCTCTCTCTGAATCTGAAAACCACCGTTCTTGATGGAGAGAAGTATAATTGTATGGTTTGTGATCTGCAGAAGTCACAGAAAGAGATACACTGTTCGGCTTGGTTTAAGTCACTGCTCATACCGATTCCTCCAAAGCAAGGACCACGGAGAGATCTGTGCAGCAGGCCCAAAGAATTTAGCTGCCTTTCCCAACCCAAGATCTTCTGGATGACAGACTACAGCTCCTAGCTGTATGGTATTCTATGCTGGCTTGGCATGGTGGGCATTAGAGGCCAACGCCTCCAGAGGGCACTGGGCTGGGGCAGGTTGCACCCCCCCCCCCTTGCCGAGAACCTTGCAGCCACTGACTTTTAGGAAGTTCAGGAGCATCTCTCTAAATTCATCCATCGACGTTCCCCTAGTAGGCTTGCTGAAGAGGACGACATCTCTCCGGGGGGCTGCCTCCAGGTGGCCGTCGCCCTTCAAGGCCTCTGTGATGCCACATTTGATGATCACCTCCTTCTCCTTCCAGAGTCCACTGTACACCTGCAGAAAAGGCCAGGAGCGGAGCTGGGCACAGGCCGGAGTACCTGGAAGCCCAGCCCTGTGACTCGCGGGCACAGCTGTGGTCCTCTTCCCGCTCGGCAACCTGCCCCGCTGCCTGCCCTCTCGCCCTCTCTTGCAACTCCTTCCCACCACGCAAGCTCTTTGGGCCACAGCGGAGGGCCAGCATCAGGGGCACGGCACGGGGTGCAGGGGCAGGGAAAGAAGTGGCTGCTGCACAGGTGAAGTCACCCTCGGATGGGGGTTCTGGATGGCACTGAGTGGCGGGTCTGACGTGACCAAGCTGCGCCACTGCTTCGCGGAGGGAGGGCCCCCAGCCACTCCTCTGCCGCACCCTTCCGGCCTCCCCCCCCCCCCCCCCGGGACTGCCTGCTTCAGCACTGCCCAAGCAACCTACCTGCTGGGTGGGCGAGGAGGACAGGCACTGCTGGAACTCCAGGGTGTGCTTCTCACAGAGGTCCTTACATGTTGACCCGGAAATGATGCCCTTGTTATATTGATCGCACTGGGAGGGAGGGAGGGAGAAAACCCAATGCAAGGATCCAGTTCACTGTTTGGGGTCAGTGCCTCTTCTGGGCTGACTGGTTTAATTCACCCAATCTCCCCTCAGGGCAGCATCCAATGGTAAAACAGCCGTAGGCCCAGATGCTGGGCAAGAGACCACCGATCTGGATGGCTCTGAAGGGGGTCGGGCCAGTTCCTGAGGGAGAAGGGCCCCCTATCCTTGTGGCTCCAGTTGCTGGGGAGCATGGGTGGCAGGATGCTGTGGCCCTCCTGCCCTGGTTGTGAGGTTTCCCCTATGGCTGGCCTCTGCCTGTGTGGGCCCGATGCAGGAGGACTCTTCTGATCTCGATTCCAGAGACCTCGCAGGCGTCACTCCGTGGCAGCCAACGCCTCCCTCTGAAAAAGGACCACTTCCTTTCCTTCAGCATTCTGGCGGATCAGGGCACCAAAGGCCAGTCAGCCACAACACCAGTGCCTGCTGAAAGCAGTTCAGGCACGCGATCCTAGCATTCTGAAAGGACCGCAACCCCGCACCTTTCCTCCCCACGCAAGGAGCCCAAGGTGGCTCACGGCCTCCTCCCCTCTCCACTTACCTTCACAGCAGCCCCTGAGCTAAGCCAGGCTGAGAGTCAAGGACCAACCCAAAGTTGCCCAGGGAGTTTCATGGCCCAGCGGGGACTGGCTCCGGATTTCTTTCTCTCCCGCCCAGGGTGCTCTGCCTCTTAGCCACACCACATTTCCACAGGGTGTGGGAGGATTAAAGTACAAAGAGACTTCCTTGCCAAGGGCTACCGAGGCGGTTTGTGGCAGCTCGAGAGCAGAACCAGGGACTCCCTTCGTCAGGGTGGGGGAACCAGTTGGAGTGTGACAGCTGGACTGCCCCCCCACCGCCCACATGTCTACCTAGACAAATATAACAAAGCTTGCTAGCTGCGAGGGAGCTGAATGGGCTGCTGGTGATGTGGAAGAACTTTTACGTGGCTGGCATGCCTTGCTGGCATTTCTGTCCACGGCCCACCGCAGGGAAGCGTCTTCCCAGACAAGTCCCGCTCCCTTCTTCCTGCAATGGCATCCAGCACTGCTGGGGCTTTGCTCAGGAAGAGGTCTTGCTCAGAAGCAGGAATGAATCAGCAGTGCCTTCCTTGCAAAGGAGAATCAAAACAAGGCAGGCACTAGAGCCCTGAAGAGGAGAGTGTAGGCAAAATGCGAAGCCAGGAGAGCCCTTGGAAGGGAAGCCAGAGAGCAAGAAAAGCCAGGACTAAATGGCAGCATGGACCAGGAAACACGCAGCACCTGCTGCTCCCTTTGGGGTGATGAGAGGGAAGAACCTCCTGCCCAGCCCTCTAAACAAGAATGACTGGCGAGCTGCCGGCCTCCAGCGAAAGGGGAGAGGTGGTGGGAAGTCTGTCAGGTGCAGAGGCATGTTTGGCAGAAGGGGTGGATTGTGCACTGCAGGATTTTCTGTTCTCGGAAAACTTGCACATGACTGCAAAGGCTGTGTCCTTCTACTCTCCTTGCTTATGCAGACCAGCAGGTCTACTCAGAGGAAAGGGAGGTCCACAGGAATTGGCCACAACCCTCGGAAGAAAGGTGCTGGATTAGACAGACACGTGCCCAGAGGCCCTCGCTCTACTACAGCAGCTGACTGAAAAGCAGGGGCTGCCTTCCCGGTTCCTGTTCCACGGCTCGCCCCATGCGGGTCCTCTGGCACACCCACTTCAGGGGCCTGGTCTTTCCAGCCCCTGCCTGCCCCTTTCTCCCCGCAGAGCCCACCCAGGCTCGGCTCGCCCTCTCCGCGCCTGGGAGCAGAGGCACTCACGATGATCATCTGGCAGACGTGTCCCCGGCAGAGCTCCGAGTACGAGGAGTAGTGGATGTAGACCATCCAGCTGCCCACGAAAATCCCCAGCCAGGCGAAGAAGAGATATTTCACCTTGATGCCAGGAAGACGGCTCTGGGGGGTGAAGCAAAGAAAGGGGGGTGAATCACCCCCAGTTGCGGCTTCTCTTTGTGTTTTCGCTGGCGATGGCTCTTCATCGCCACTCCCCTACGGAGCCGTACAGCCGCAAGGGGCCCAGGGTGTTTTCCTGGCCATGGTGCCGTCCCCACGCTCGAGGGCCCATGGCCCATGGTCGCATTTTGGGCCATCCAGGCTTCAAACTGAAAGGAGCGTGATGCTGGTTTGGCCCTGCCCGTGGCTGGAACGTCCTTTCTCCCGCCACCCCAAGTCCTTCTCTGAAGCAGAATTCCACTCGGCACTGGAAAAGGTTAACAGTTCGTTGCAGAGAAGGGATGAAGGCCCAGCCTTCCCTCTGGATGTGTGGAAGTGCAATTCCCATCATTCCTAACCAGCACAGCCAAGAGCTGCCCTAGATCAGCCACAAGGCACTGTGGGTATGCATTTAGGTCACAATTTCTTGTCTTTTGGGAGCAGCAAGAATGTGGAGGAAGCGTTTTATAGGTTTGCTAAAAGGAGATGAAAAGCTTAAAAACTTGGCTAGTGTGGCTGCCCTGCTAAATTTTCTTGCATCTCCAAGGCATGGCCTGCTGGGGCTTTTGCCATAAGCACCTGCATTTAAACCCACCAGATCTGTCCTGCAAGTGATTCATCCCCTAAAAATGTCTCTTTCCATTGACTGGCAGCCTTCATTGCCTCCATTCAGAGCACAGCAGAGAAAAGGGGGGGGGGGAAAGGTGGGCAGAAGCCGCACGGAGCACATGGAACAGGCTGCCAGCACTCAGTGAATGTCTGTCCGTCTGTTTCTGCTTCCATGTCCGTTCCGCCTACCGCCACCGTCTCCGGGCAGTTTAGTCAGTATCCCACAGAGCTTCCTTCTCAATAAGCACCCAAGCTGCTGACTTCCCCCTTTCCAAAAGAGCTGCCCCTCCTGCTCAAGGATCCCCCAAACACAATTGCCCCGAACAACCACATGGTGACTTGGAAGAATTCTTTCCTAGAGAGTAGCTGTGTGCGTCTGTTGCAGCCTTCCCCAGCTGGGAGGCTTGCAGAGGGGCTGGACTACAACCCCCAGCAAGCACAGAGGGGGGGGCGGGTTGTAGTCCACCACCACCACCCCCCCGTGAACAAAAAGCACACATAGTCTTGCTCCAAAAAGTTCCATAGCAGGCCACACAGCAAAAGCAACAGAAAGGCTATCAACATTAATCCTGGCCTGAGCCCTCGTGGGCTGGGTAGTCCCTTTATGGGATGCAGGGAACAGGGCTGGGCGTCTCGAGTTTATACAGAGTACATACGGTGGGTCTGCATTTGCAGCTCTCTTCACATGCTCATGCAAACTGCAGTACATAGCACATGCCATCCAGACACGCAGGCCTGATAAATTCCTCTTTAAAGCACTGCAAGGCCCTTCCTGCTGGATCTTTGGGGAATGCGTTGCGTGCACTGAAAGGGGTGCCGGCCCACCCGCCTCCGCCCAAATGTGCCAGCACTGGCCAAGCTCTGAACAGCCAGCCTTGCACTTTCCAAACGGGTTCCTTTGCCAAGTTTGCAGGGAGTACAAAACAAAGACGTGAGCTGCCAGTCTTAGCTGCTGGCAGGATTAGCATCATGGGGAATATCCCTGAGGGAGCGACAACATGCACCTGCAAACCCCCCACATGCCACACGCCTTCTTTTCTCCCCCCCCCCCCCCGGATACCCCACCACCAAGCACGATTCCCGCCCTGGAAGGCTCAGCATTTGGCCGTGGGCTTCTGCAGGTTCCCCCTGCGTTTCCATGGGTCAGTCCCGCGGCCGGGCCTTCCCTGCCTCCCACAGAGGCTCTTAAGCCAACCCCAATCGCAGCTGTGGAAACAAGAAAGATCCTCTTAGCCCAGGAGTCTGCCCCATCAGGGACAGAACATTTCTTCTCTGCCCCAGGATCAGTTCTTTGCCGTTCTCTCAGGAAATCATGCGCATGAATCAAGGTGATGTAACTGGGCTTGGGAACCAGGAAGGACAGACGAGGAAACTGACTCGATTCCCAAATCGATCCATTGAAAGGGTGGGAGCGAATGACCCTCAGTTCCCAGAAGCACGTGGCCAGTTCAGGCCATGGCCAGGGCCCTTCTGGGATCAGGCCCCGGGAACCTCCCTGCAGCGGCTGGCAGGCGGCAGGACCTGCCTCCCCACGATCCTGCTTCCGGCAGAGCCTTCTCGCAGCCCGGCCGTGTCCCTTAGCCCGGTCCCCCTCGGCACGGGCAGTGGCGCGCGCGGCAGCGCGGAGCGCCGTCCTGGGGCAGCCGCGGGGTTCGCCTGGGCTCGCTCCCCGGAGCGCCCCGTTGCGCGGGAGGCGGCGCGGAGGGAGGCGGCGCGCAGCCCCAGCCGCAGCCTGCGCGAAGCCGCTCGGCTGAGCCGAGGCGCCGGCCTCCCGCCCCGCCAGGATCCGCTTCCGAGCGAGGGGCAGGGACTCCCTCGCCGGCCCGGCCGCCTCTCCTTGCCCGTCCCCTCCGCCGCTCGCACGCACACGCGCCGCGCAGCCCCGCGAGGAGTCGCCCGGGGGCGCCCGGATCGCGGCTCGGGCGGCCCGAGGGACCCTTTCCCGGAGGGCGCTTGCACGCCCCCTCCCCCTCCCCCCGCCGTTTTACCTGCAGGCCCTTGGAAAGGGGGCAAAAGACCACCAGCTGCACGAGCCGCCTCACCCGCCTCATGCTGGGTCGGCGCCCCCGCGCCGTGCCCGCGGCAGCTCCGGGAGCGGGAGGATGGCGGCGGCGGCGGGGGCGGCTTCGTTTCGCGGGCTGCGGCGGGGGGGGGGGGGCCGCTTCCTCGTCGAAAGAAGGAGGGGGTCTTGTCCGGACCCGCCCTCCTCCTCCCCCTCCCCCTCGCCCGACCGGAGGGCTACGGCGGCAGCTGCGTAGGGCGCCCGTGCGCCGCCGGGAGAGGCGGCGGCAGCAGCAGCAGGCGCTGCGCTTGAGCGTGGATGGCGCTGGAGCCCCGAGGCCGCTGGTCCGCGCCGCCGCGGAGGGTGCCCCTGCCTCCCGTAGGGCGCTGCTGCTGCTGAGGCGGCGGCAGCAGCAGCAGCATCCCGGTCCGCGCCAGCCCGCGCCCCTCCTCCTCCTCCTCCTCCGCCTCCTCCTCCCGGGCTGGATGCGCGGCGGGTGGCGCAGCGCCGGGGCCGCAGTGGCGGGGCTGCCGCGCGGTCACCCTTAAAGGCGACGCCCGCCCAGGCCGCTCTCGCGGTGGGGCGGGCAGGGAGAGCCTCTGAGCGCTCCGGGGGCCTTCCGCCGGCTCCCCGCCCCTGCGACCGAGGCGCGCGCTCCAGGCCCAGCGGCTGGCGGGCTCCCCGGACGCCCTCCCAGCGGGGCGAGCGAGGGGCGCACGAGTGAGGGGTGCAAAGGCCGCAGCCCAGCCTCCCCGCCTTGCTCCCCTGTACGACTGTCTCCGGGGGGATCACTCTCCATCTCCCCCACCTACTGTCACAACGACCCCGTGGGGTAGGTTCAGCTGACAGGCTGTGGCTACTCCAGAGCCTCCCCTTGTGCTTCAGGAGCACTTTAGGGGCTTGAGCCCAGATCTCGCAAGATCCAGTCAGATATTCTAACCACTAGGCCACATGACTGAACAGCAGAGTCTGTAGAGGGTCACCTATTCCGGGTTCCTCTTTTTGCTTTCCTTTTCTGCACGTCAGGCAGAAGGAGCAGCCTCCGGGCCACTGGGCAGCAACTAAATGGCCGAAATAAACCCACCTGCCCGGCAGGTAAGGAACCAACCGCAGGGGCCACGTGCCGGGCATCCCTGCGCATCTGCACCAGTCATCCATTGCACAAGCACATGAACTGCTCACACGGTGGCAGAAACAATCTGATTCTGTTAACAGAGCACACCACAAACAGCATGTGAGAGAAGCGCAGACCGGCAGGATTGCACGGAACGCCCCCCTCCCGAACCCTGCCCGGTGGAGGGGTGGAACCCCAATGGGCACAGAGCCCCACAGGCCGTGAACCGGCAGGCCGGGCTCCCCATTTTGCCATCCTAGCCGATCCCCTCGAGACCAGCTCTTTCCCTCCCGCTATCTCAGCCCTGGACCCCCGAGTCATGGCAGCCCCTCCCACGGGAAAGCTGGTCTGTGACCCCTGCGCGCCTCAGTGTGGTTTTCCCACGGGGGGGGTGGCACTGTGTTCCTTCCCAAACAATGGTCCGAGCGGGGGGCTGAGGCAGGGTGGGGGCTCCTCGAAGGATCCCACATGCTGCCAAAGCCAAAAGCAGCGGGGAAGCGCACCAGCAGACCTGTGCGTGTGCACCCCGGAGCGCACATGTGCCTTCCATGTGACAGGGGTGCACAACGCACACATTCTTTTGTTGACATGGCAACAGCAGAAGTGCCCCCCCACACACACACAATCACAACATCCTGCTCCCTTGTCTGGACAGTGGGTTTTCCAGACCAGCCCTGGAGATGCTGCTAAGAGTTTCTGCAGACAGAATGGGGTTCCATCACCACGGAGCTGTTGTCCTTCACATAAGAATAAAGTAAGATGCCAGTCCTCATGGTTCTCCAGGGCAGAATAAGCTAGACCGAATCAGCTAGGCTGGCTGGGGGATTCTGGGGTATGGGTCCAACACATCTGGGGGGGGGTCAGGTTTACATCCCACTTTGTTTGTTTGTTTGTTTGTTTGCTAAGGACTTCCGCGGCTTACATTGCACTCTTCATCCTCTCCAGTCGCTCTTCACAAGAACCTCCGAGAACCCTCTGGCTAGGCCAGAGTCAGTGGCTCGCTGGTGGCGGATCTGAACTTGGGTCTCCCATTTCCGGTCCAGCACTCAGACGGTCTGGTCCATCACACCAGTTCTTATACAAGTTCATATGCAGCACCTTTTTATACTGCCCTCCAGAACCTGCCATGCTCACTAGGCGGTTTACAGGTATGAGAGGAAAGGGCTAGTCGTGGCTTCCTGAGAGGGGAAGAGGAAAAGGTGGCCCTGCGCCCTTCCCTGTGCAGCCTCGAAGCTGCTCCAAAGGGAGACCCAGCCCTCAGGCTGGAAGCAGCTCAGCGTCCCAGATTGAAACACTTTCCAGCGAAGCCCCCTATTGGCAGGTATGAGCAGGACCCCAACCCTGCAGGATCAGCCTCCGCGGGTAACCACCACGACTGTGGCGGAGAGACTTAAGCCTCGGGGCAGACCCGCTGTCTCCCACGCTCCCTGTCTGCTGCCTGGCTCGGGGCAGTTCGTAGGAATTTGTCCCCTGGTGACTCACTGGTCCTCCCTCGACTGGTTGCCCTCCAGATGTGCTGGACGGCAGTGCCCATCGTCCCTCAGCAAGGACATGGTGGAAGTTGCAGTCCAGCGTAGCAGCAGGTTGGAGGAAGGCGGGTTTCGAATCGGACTTGCTCTCACAGTTCCCGCGTTTTGCCAGAGGATGGCACTGCAGCGTCAAGAGAGGTTTGCCGGCAGCCAAGCACGGACAACTTGGGCACCACCCAGCCAAGGGATTTGACAAGAGAGTTGCAACATGGCAGTGCCCTCGCAAGCGCTGGTGGCTCCCGTGGAGGAGAGCTCCCCGCACCGAGGGGTTGCGCTTGGAAGTCTCAAGGCAGACCTGGGGGCGCTTGGCCTGTGAGGAACCCAGTGCCTCTCTGCATGCCCTCCCCTGCAGCATTAGGCTCGGAGGCACAGTGAGCAGGCAACAGTGCGCCACAGCTTGGGTGCGCTCTCTGCCTCATGCGCAGAAGCTCCACGTTCAGTCAAGGAACCAGGATGGGGCGAGACTGGGGGAACTGGGACTCTTCAGCCCGGAGAAGAGGAGACTCGGAGGGGATATGCTGGCGACATACAGGTATGTGAGGGGATGTCACAAGGAGGTGGGCAGAGACCTGTTCTCCCCTGCAGGGGAAGGCAGAACGTGCTCCAACGGAGCAAAGCTCAGGGAGCCAAGGTTTCGTTTGGATGCCAGGAAGCACTTCCTGACAGTCAGGACCCCGAGGGTGTGGAATGGGCTTCCCCGGGAGGTGATTGAGGCCCCATCGGTGCGGGTGTTCAAGGATAGGCTGAACATGTACATGGTAGGCATGTCATGAGTGGAGCCAGCTGGAGCTGGGGTCAGACTAGATGGCCCGGAAGACCCCTTCTGACTTGCTCTGTTTCTATGTTTCTCTGATTACCATGTTTCTAAATGGGTCCAGCCATTACGGACCAGGGCTGGGCCAAATGTTTGTGAGCCGCCCCGAGGCTTCGGCGAATGGGGCAGCATAGAAGTTCCCCAAATAAATAAATAAAAGCAGATCTCTGGATGCCTTGGATTTCAACTCCCAGCATCCTTGAGCACTGGCCATGCTGGCAGGAGCTTTGGGGGCTGTGGTCCAAAATACCTGGCCAAGTGCCCAGCTGGGACACAGGCAAGTGACCAGCCAGGTGTGGCATGTCCTCCATCCTTTTTATCTTAAATATCGTCCTTGCTCTGTTATGCATCTGCAGCACTACCAAATAATGAAGGGATTATAACAACGAAGGCCTTCGCCTGCCTCTGCAGACCTTGCCATCTTCTCATGACTGCTCCTCGCCTTGGGTCTGCCTACCACCAGGCGTGAGGGAGAAGATGATGGAGCACAGGCCTCCAAGGAGCCCTGGAAGTGCTGTTGGAAACCTGCCAGGAACTCTCTGGAGAAGAATTGCTGCAAGTGGCCTTAACTAATTGAATTTCCCTCACTACCACTTGGAGCGCCACAGTTCCCAGCCAACGCGAAGCAAAGGCTCTGGACCAGCAGAATGGCTGGGACCTTGCTTTCCCGGCCAAATCCGCAGAGGGTCTCCAGCAGAGTCCCTCACTCCCGACCAGTGGGTGGTGGGGTGGAGGTGTTATAGTCTGGAAAGTCTTGGAGTGTTTCTGTGAGCCAGAGATGGAGAAAGCCAAAACAGACTGAAAGCTGGACATGCTGCCAATGAAAATGTCCGTGGAGCCTTTCTGTTTGGGTTCCCCATGGCAACTTTCAAAGGGAAAGCACAGGACCCTCCATTTGCTGCAGCAACCCAATCGAGGAGACGCGGGCATGTCGGCTGGAGGAGGATACCGCCAGAGCTGCTCGGGGGGGGGCGGGGGGGCCGATTTCAGGAGGCCCAACAGGCCGTGGCGAGTCCTTTGTGAGAGGACAGTCCTTCACTGGAAGGGCCCTCAGCGTCAAGGGCTGCCCTCCTCAGTCCCGTTGTCAGGATACAGTCCAGTCCGGTCAGATCTGTGCCCCGCCCACCGGCAGGTGTGCAGCACCTTGAGCAAGGCGCCTCCCTCAGGGGCCCCTCTCCTCCCTGCCATGGCCACCGGCTGCCCTGCCCCCTACTGGCTCCCCCCAGCTTGTGTGCCAGGCGGAGGCCCAGGCGCCGGCTGGCTGGGGCTTCTCCTGCTGCTCCTCCTCCTCCTCACCACCTGCATCGCTGGAGCCGGGGCAAGATGCAGGGAGCACCCAGGTTCCGGTGCCACAGAAGAGGGGACTCTTGCTAGAAGTCTCTCCTGGGGGCAGCAGCCCCACTGACCCTCTGAGCCATCCCCGATTCTCAGCATTTGGACAGCCAGTCAACGGGTCACCTTTTCTAAAGGCCCTTTCTAAATTAACAGCTGCCCATTGCGTGCCGCTGGTGCCCTCCTTTGGGGGCAGTGCATGTCCTCCTCCGACAGTGCGTCAGCACAGCCGGGCTGCCGGGGGCTTCTGGGGAACCCCT